AAACACTACAGATAGTTGTAAGGGGGATGCACAGAAAAGCAAGAAAGTGAGTTTGGAGATAAGTTTATTGAAAACAATATCCAACGAAAGAAGAGGGAAAAAGGAAAATGAAGAGATAGAGGTTAAAAGCTTAATAAGGTAAGTACCAGCATGATAAAAGTGACACTTCTGTTCAAAGAAAATAAAGCATAAACTATACAATTCAGTAATTGCTTCTGACTAATGGCATACCAAAGATAAAAGTGAGGAGGCTTCTCCAAGTTCTCTTGAGTGTAGTATAGAAAGTGAAAGTAGGAAATCTAACTAGGGAGAAAAAGAGGTAAAGGATACAATTGAATACAGGTTTTTATATTAATGGCCATGCACCTGGATTTTAATTAGGATAATTTAGTAACTGTAACGTTCACTAGGGAACCCTAACACGCAGTCAGGACTGAGTAGAGAGAATTGCAATACCGATACTTAGAATGGTCGGATTATGCAAAAAGGGATAGTCAAAACACAAGCCGAGATCAAGGGACTAAGGAGAGATGGAATAACGAGAGACAAAGCCAAATATCAGTAAACAGGAAATCCAAATAACAAGTCCAACGCTCAATGGTAAATCAAAGACCACAACAGGGCAATGAAGCAAGGGAGGGGTTAGCTTATATACACACAGGGTTTGTCTGATTGGCTAACCTCCAATTAGTGTTAACCACAACACATGGGAGGAGTTTCTTCCCTTCCTTGTGGTCTCTGAGGTCATCACTGTGTGCCGGGTCACATGACCGGATGCAGCACATATATAAGGAAGCTGCTCTAGAGCGTGCAGCGTCAGACACACTGCCAGTCTGGAGACAGGGACCAAATGACGCTGCTCGCTGTGATGAGGTAAGCAAGGTCACTGCGAGCGGTGCAGGGGCAGGGAACCTGACAAGTAACATATCAAACTAGCAGCATTTGGCTTAATCTTGGTCAGTTGTGCATTTGCGCATAATCAAAGTCAGTTGTGCATTTGCGCATAATCAAAGTTTTAGTCTAACTACCTTGACATAGAATAAGTTTGATAAAAATTACGATATCTTTATTTTAAAGTCCTATGAATGTTCTCTTCACTTTGGCAAATTGCAAATTTATACAGACAGAAAAACCCATGAAAAACACAATATCACTTAAGTTTTAAGTGTTCCAACTTGGCTACTTTCTTTCTTTACACCTTTAACACAGATACAATATATTTTATAGTGTAAAACCAGCAAAAGGTTATATGTTTTATATTGAAATAATGAAACACTCTATTCCAGAGCTATATAGACCTGGCTCTGGTGTGGAAAGCATGTGGGTCCATTATGGGCGACCGCTCCCCTCTTCCGTGGGGTAGATTCCCAGTGTGTAGAGTCTGTCTAAGAAAACTAGAAAATAGACAATATAATATAATTCAGTTTGGTATAAAAAGAATCCAGATAGGTATTAAAAAGATTACTTTTTTAAGAATAGTATAAAAAACAATAAAATACCAATGTATACTTCATGTCTTAATGTAAGAAACCAGTTTCACCGTTCTCTTGGCTTCCTCAGTCTCATCTGATAGATTCGTCTGATTGTTGTTTAAATATCCCTCTCTTCTTTCTTTCTCAGCTGTTGCTAGTTAAGTGTTCGATCTGCATTGCGTTCCAAGCCTCAATCCAGCCATCTTTTTTTTTTGTTTAGTATTTCCGTGTGATGTCACTTCCATTTTTTGTGGGGCATGTGGACTTGCGGTCCATCTTGCGTTCCACAGTTCTTGTACTTCCTCTATTTGACGTCACAAGTCTTTTTCTCCTCGTAATTCATTATGATCGGAGTGAATGTATTTATATAGGATAATTAAAAACATAAACCATTCATTCAACTTATACTTATTTAGTTTAAACTAATTTTAAATAAGTGAAAAATACATAAGCAATTTACAATAACGATTTACATCCTTAATCTAAAAAAGCAGATCTTTCCTTTAAAGGACCACTCTAGGCACCCAGGCACCCAGACCGCTTAATGAAGTGGTCTGGGTGCCAGGTCCAGCTAGGGTTAACCCATTTTTTCATAAACATAGCAGTTTCAGAGAAACTGCTATGTTTATGAATGGGTTAAGCCTTCCCCTATTTCCTCTAGTGGCTGTCTCATTGACAGCCGCTAGAGGCGCTTGCGTGCTTCTCACTGTGAAAATCACAGTGAGAGCACGCAAGCATCCATAGGAAAGCATTGATAATGCTTAAATATGTGACCGGCTGAATGCGCGAGCAGCTCTTGCCGCGCGTGAGCATTCAGCGGACGGGGAGGAGAAGAGGAAGATCGGAGGAGGAGAGCTCTTCGCCCAGCGCTGGAAAAAGGTAGGTTTTAACCCCTTTCCCCCTTCCAGAGCCGGGCGGGAGGGGGACCCTGAGGGTGGGGGCACCCTCAGGGCACTATAGTGCCAGGAAAACGAGTATGTTTTCCTGGCGCTATAGTGGTCCTTTAACTTATATACTCATTTTACTCCTAATTGAATCAAAAGGTATCTTTATGCATATTTCATTTGGAGTATTTACACCTTAAATAATAAAAAAAAATGGAAGATTTGGTTACAATGAATATATAGAATAAGGTTATAATAAAAATATGGTACAATAATAATAAAATATTAATATTTATAATAAAATGACACTGTTTATATCAATACTTAACGATAGGGATAATTCACTTTGAAAAATTGCAGATTTCAAAGTCACTATTTAGACCATATGGAATAATAGTATTTAAATTATAAATCCATTCCATTTCTACCTTTCCTATGATTTTATTGAAATCTCCCCCTCTGCAATTTTTTCGGAGTTTCTTTATACCCATGAATTTCATGCCCTTAGGGTTGAGGTCATGGTGTGTATTGAAATATGCTGAAACATTGAAGTTTTCATAGCTTTTTAAATTATTTCTTAAAAGTTCCTCTATGCGTTTGTTTAATGCTCTTGTGGTTCTGTCAACGTTTTTAAGGCCACATGGACATTCTAATAAATAAATAAAAAAATTTGTATAGCATGTTATAAAATCTTTCACCTTTTAAGTGTTGTTGTTGGAGTTAAAATTTCTAACTATACATCTGCAGTTGTTTATTCACAGGCAGCACATTGGCCAAAACCATAAAAAACAATACTATTGTCCAAACGTAATGGAACTTTTTCTTCTTCTTTTAAATAACTTCTTACAAATTGACTTTTCGTATTCTTGACTCCTCTATAGATTACTTTTGGTTTCTATGTTTTTATTGCTTTTTATACTATTCTTAATACATTTTTTAATTGTCAAAATGAAAAAAATGATAGCTAAAGAGAGCAAAACCAAAACCAAAGCATTTTTTAAGTACATAAATTCTAAAAAACCCAAAAATGAAAGTGTAGGTACACTAAAAACTGAAACGGGTGTGTTAGTTAATGAAGACCAGGAAAAGGCATGAATTTTAAATAACTATTTCTCCTCCGTATATATTAAGTAAGAACCCATGGCAATAGATGTGCAAATGATTGCTACTAAAAACTTGCAGAATAATTGTAATTGGTTAACTCAAGACAAGGTGCTGCAGCAACTAAAGAAAGTTAATATAAACAAAGCTCCAGGGCCTGATGGTATCCATCCATGAGTACTTAAGGAACTAAGTGTAGAAATAAGTGAACCTCTGTTTTTAATCTTTCAAGATTCTTTTCTTTCAGGAAGTGTTCCGGAGGATTGGAGGAAGGCAGATGTGGTTCCTATATTCAAAAAGGGTTCAAAATCCTTGCCTGGAAATTATAGACCTGTGAGCTTAACTCCTGTGGCTGGGAAAATATTTGAAAGGTTATTAAGGGATAATATTCACGGATTCCTTGAGAATAACATGGTTATCAGCAAAAATCAGCATGGTTTTATGACGCACAGGTCATGTCAAACTAACTTGATTGCATTCTACGAAGAAGTAGGTAGAAGTATAGATCAGGGTGTTGCATTGGATGTGATCTGTTTGGATTTTGCCAAGGCATTTGATACAGTTCCACACAATAGATTAGTGTTCAAACTCAAGGAAATCGGTCTAGATGAAAATGCTTGTTCTTGGGTAGAACATTGGCTTAAAGACAGAGTACAAAGAGTTGTCATTAATGGTAAATTTTCAAGCTGGACAGAGGTGGCAAGTGGTGTACCTCGGGGGTCTGTTCTGGGACCCCTTCTATTAAACATGTTTAAATGATCTTGAAAAAAGCATGAAAGTCATGTTTCACTGTTTGCAGATGACACAAAACTCTGTAAAATAAAACAATGTGAGCAAGATATTACTTTGCTCCATAGGGATTTAGATAGACTGGGGGACTGGGCACTCAAATGGCAGATGAATTTTAATGTTGAAAAATGCAAAGTTATGCACTTCGGCGTAAAGAATACACAAGCAACGTATACCCTTAATGGAAGCAAATTATAGACAACAAACTATGCAACAATATGCAATGTCAATCAACAGTGGCCAAGGCCAGTAAGGTATTGTCATGCATGAAAAAGGGCATTCATTCTCGGGACGAGAATATCATTTTGCCTCTTTATAAATCACTGGTAAGACCACATATTGAATATGCTGTGCAATTTTGGGCACCTGTTCTAAAGAAGGATATTATGGCACTAGAAAAAGTGCAGAGGCGGGCTACAAAATTAATAAAAGGAATGGAACATATCAGCTATGAAGAAAGGTTAACAAATTTAAACCTCTTTAGTTTAGAAAAACGTCACCTGAGACGGGATATGATAACATTATACAAATATATTCGGGGCCAATACAAACCATTGTGTGGAAATCTATTCAAAAACAGAACTTTACATAGGACACGAGGTCATGCGTTTAGACTGAAAGAAAGAAGATTTTGTCTAAGGAAAACAAAGGTTTTTTTACTGTAAGAGCAATAAGGATGTGGAATTCTCTGCCTGAAGAAGTGGTTTTATCAGAGTCCATACAGATGTTCAAACAGTTACTAGATGCATACTTGCAAAAACAGAATATTCAAGTATATAATCTTTCAATGTAGGGTAATAACTGCTTGATCCAAGGATAAATCTGACTGCCATTCTGGGGTCAAGAAGGAATTTTTTTCCTAGCTTGTTGCAAAATTGTGCTTCAAACTGGGGGGTTTTGCCTTGCTTTGGATCAACAGCAAAAAATAAACGTGAGGAAGGCTGAACTTGATGGACGCAAGTCTCTTTTCAGCTATGTAACTATGTAATCTTTTTAATACCTATCTGGATTTCTGCTATACTACAGAAGGGAGTGTAATCCCCAACTACACAAAGCTTGTTTACTGAGCCAGGTCACAGGGTCTACACTTGTGAGTATATAAGCACCAGCCACTTTTTCTTATTATACCAAACTGAGTTAAATTATATTTTCTATTTTTCTGAAACAAACTCTAAACATTGGGAATCTACCTCACAAAAGAGGGGAGAGGTCACCCATAACGGACCCACAAGCTTTCCTCACCAGACTCAGGTCTATATAGCTCTGGAATATGTGAGTGTTCCATTATTTCAATACAAAACATATAACCTTTTGGTGGTTTTTACACAATATATTTTATCTGTGTTAAAGGTGTAAAGACAGAAAGTAGCCAAGTTGGAACACTTAAAAGTTAAATGATATTGTGTTTTTCATGGGTTTTTCTGCCTGTAGAAATTTGCAATTTTGAAATATAATAATAAGTTCTTCACTGTTTTTTTGTGTTTTTATATGGGATTGTGTGTTTGGAGAGGATATCACACTCTGCGTTGTAGCTGCTGTATTGTCATAGTCGAATTAAGTATATATATTCATTAAGGATAAAGGAAAAATGCACAATTTCCTATATATTGAAGTTATTCTTAAAAATACATCTTAACCTGTGTATCTCTTAACCTCCCTTTTGAATTGTTACCCCCTTTTGTGTTTCTCATCCACTCTTTTGATTGTCTTATCCAGTCTAGTGTATCTCTTACAATCCCCCTTTGTGTATCTTTTACTTTATTCCAACCCCTAGACGTGTCTCTTCTTTTTATTCTCTGGCTCCACTGTATGTCTCTTTCCTCCAGTCCCTTTTGTGTGTATTTCTCCCTGCAGCACTTCTATGTGTCTCATTTGCCACCAGCAAATCCATGAGTTTTATTCCACCATTCCTCAGCCTCTCCATGTGTTTCATTCCCACCCACCCCATCCATGTGTCTCATTTCCCCCCCTCCTGAGCATCTTCACACTTCTCTTCCCAGCCCCTCCATGTGTCTTATTTCACCCACCTCCCAAGCATTTCCATTTGTCTCCTCCTCCATGTGTCTCATTTACATCCCGCCCCTCCTGTACCTTCTGCGGCCGAGCCTCAGACCACGGTGGAGGTCTTCTGTTCCTCTAATTCTTCTTACTGAAAGCAATTTGGCGCTTACTGTGAGTACTTCCCGTTTTTAGGGGAACAGAAGCTTGTTTACCGTGGTCTGCAGCTCGGCTACGCTACATGCGGTGGCCAGCAAAGGGGAAGCACTTCTCCTTCTGTTGGTCACCCTGTGATTGCCCACCAGAACATTTCCCGGTATGCCAGTGAGCCAGTCGAGCTCTGGCATCCAGAACTGTTGGCCACTGGTTTATTTTGTTCATTTCTGGCGTGTGTCTTCTCTAATTAAATATATCTGTTTGGAAAGCATTTTTTTATGTGAAATGAATGCAATAGACGAGTGGTCTGTATTAAATTTGTACAAGGGGTTGTTTGTTTTCACATGAAATGGAGAGTGACAGGATGGTTGTCCATATTCCTTTGAGGTGGAGGGAACGTAGCAGTGGCAACCAAGTTAAAAGTAAGAAATGTGGCTAAGGGGAGAGTTAAAAGCCTCTATTGGGCATGGGGGGGTGGTGGAGTCTGTCACATAGTGATTAATTTGTTGCAAGTCTGTCAATAAAAGTGGAATTGACAATTCACTGAATATCTATCTATGTTTCTAAAAGACATGTAAAAGAAATATCTTAATATGAGATTGCCATTTTTGAAGTTGCTAAATTAGAGAGCAATAAACTAAACAGAAAAAGCTAAATTAAGAAAAGGACTTTCAGCATTAAGGGAGCAGGGACACTGCACCCATTCCACTTCATTGAGATGAAGTGGTCTAACTGACAATAGTGTTTATTTAAGGATAGCAAGTTAGAGAGTAATCTACTAAACAACTAAAGAATCAAAATTTAAAGAGTCCTTTTCTTAATTTTGATATTTTAATTGTTTAGTAGCTAGCTCTCTAATTTGATATCCTTTGTAAGGCATTACCATAATTAAGAATAATAAAATAAGGAAGCTAATTAGTAAACACATAAAAGAGAAAAATGTTAAAAAAAATAAGCTTGTTTTTAGTTTAGCAGATAGCTCGAACCCTCTTATGTGGGGTTGCCAAATTTAAGGATTCTAAATTAAGGGAGCTATCTGCTCAACAGCATCCAAATTTGGAATCCGTATGTGCTGAAAGATCAAAATTAAAATATGCCTTTTTTAATGTTGCTCTTTCAGTTGTTTACCAGCTAGCTCCCTAATTTGGTATCCTTAGTTATTGCAATCCCATGTAGAGGAAAGCAAATTAGGGAGCTATCTACTAAACAACTGAAAGCTCAACATTAAGAAAAGTTATTTTCTTAATGTTTATCTTTAAGTTGTGTTTTGGATAGCTCCCTAATTTTCCTAATTTGGTATCCTTATTTGGGATTCCCATAATTAAGGATAGCAAATTTAGGAGTTAGCTGCTAAATAGTTAAAAGATCAAAATGTAAAGGACATTATAGGCACCAAAATAACTTTAGCTTGATGAAGCATTTATTTTTGTATTATTGAATATTTACAAGCGGATGATAATTACTTTTTACATCAACATTGGTACTTAAAGGGACTCTATAGTCACCAAAACAACTTAATGAAGCAGTTTTGGTGTACATATCATGCCCCTGCAGTCTCACTGCTCAATCATCTGACATTTAGGAGTTAAATGATTTTGTTTGAGCAGCACTAGTCAAGCCTACCTGCATGTGACTTACACAGCCTTCCTAAACACTTCCTGAAAAGAGAGATCTATGTTTAATAGTGATGTCCCGAACGGTTTGCCGCGGACTCATCATAGAGTAAACTTTGACCCTGTACCTCACAGTCAGCAGACACATTCCAGCCAATCAGCAGCAGACCCTCCCTCCCAGACCCTCCCACCTCCTGGACAGCTCACTAAGAATGCAGCTTCAAAATGGATACAGTCTGTATAACTTAAAATTGTTTCTATCCTGCTCTGTTAATAGCCTTCTAAATCCAGCAGGATCTGTATGATTAACCTCTTAATCACATGTTCCTTAAGGCCATGCTATTAAGGAGGCAGTTCTAAATGCCATCAGGTGGCACATCTCCATCATTCTCATATTTGTTTTCAGTAATGTCTCACGAGTACAAAAGTAACCCCCAAGTGCAGGTTTTATGGTGTTTTGGAAAGTTACAGGGTCAAATATAAGACTTGCAAATTAAATTCTCTGGATTTTCTACAGGGGTTGTCAGGCAGGTCCCTCAAATTATAACTAATTTCATTACTTAATCATGTAAAAAGATCACAGAATTACAGATATATATATATATATATATATATATATATAGTTGTATTTTGATATATTGGAAGGTGGAGCCTTAAGTTGTGGGAGGGGTTACCTGGCCTTTAAAAACTCAGGTCACCCCTCTTACTGGGCTGACAAAGCTCAGTCAGCCCACCCACCACTCCCCTTTTTAAATCAATTTAAACTTTATTAACAGGCCTATCCGAAAGGCTTATTGTCCCTGACCACAACTATCTTTCAGAGCAGTAAAATGTAAAATGCTCATAATATCTTTGAAAAGGCACTTTTTTGTGAAAAATGCAAAAATCAAATATGAACACTAACTTTGGCCTGGGTTTGTGACCAAGTGGCTAATAAAAAGACTTTACATAACCCATTTTGAATACCCTGGGTTGTCTAGTTTTGCAAACGGTATGCCATGATGGGGGTAATTTTTATCCCTGGGCTGCCATACGGACTGAAAGGCAACATAACCAACCTGGCAAATGTCAATGTGTAAAAACTGAAAGGGGAAAGCCCTATATTTGACCCTGTAAGTTTCCAAAACACCATAAAACATGTACATGGGGCATACTATTGTACTCATGATGCATCACTGTACATAAATATGTGTATTTTATTTCAGAAAAAGCTAACAGTATTATGATATTCACAGTTAAAATGCCATGCATACTTTAGAAAATAACATTTCTTAATTTCTCATAAGTTTTAGATTTTATTCATAAAGAATTAGGCTTCATATATAAACATTCACTGTGAAATAAAAGCCCAGTTCCTCCTGAACAAAATTATATATAATAAATATGGGTGCACTTAATACGAACAGGCAAACTATAGTTGAACAGACATATTGTCAAATTCCAGGTTTCGTTTTGATCAGAAACTGTACAATTGCCTCCATCCTTAAGAGGTTAAAGTTCAAGTTACAGAGCATGAGATAAAAACCTCTAAAAGTAAGTTAAAATGTGATTGATAGCCAGGAGAGGTGTGGCTAGGACTGCATGGAGAGGAACAAAAGTGTTTTAACTCATTAAATAGCAAAATAATTGTGTGAGACTGCAGGGGCATGATCTATAAACTAAAACTGCTTCATCAAGCTAAAGTTAATTTGATACCTATAGTGTCCCTTTAAGAAAATGGCATTTTAAAAAAAAATATATTTTTGATCTTTTAATAGTTTGGAACATAACTCCCTAAATTGATACTTGCAACTTTTGATAGCTCTTGGCCTCATTGACATGCTGTATGTTTTTGCAAGCTGAAATCTTTATAGCTTTTGCACAAAAAGCCACGCCTCCTCATGCTAGGAATACTTCCTTGTCAAATGTCTGTACACAATCTCAGCACCAACAGCACTGAGCAAATTGCCTTTCTCAACCGGGCTGCAGTCAGTCAGAATAACTATAAACAGGTAGTGATATCCTTATTTTATGTACCCTTGGGTGCCCTGCCCTTCTAATGCAGTACTGTCATTGGCTGAGCTGTTTGCATATATCTGATAAGGAAGCCTTTTTCTGGAGTGAGGGGGAGTGGCTAAAGATGCAGACTTATGGTGCAGCACACAGTGCAAAACATGTCTGAAAAGATTTTAGCATACAAAAAAAAGAGCTCTATTGGTAGTGTGTCCATTTAACAAACTCTTCACAGTATAAAAAGTAGAACAAAATGAAAATTACCTCATTCACCCTATTTTGGTATCTTTGAGGGTCAATCATTGAAGCCAGAGCTTCTCCCTTCGGTCAAAGGAATATGCCATTGCTTAGAACAGCAATACAGAATTAATGCAAGTTTATATATCACAATATAGCTGTTTTTCTATCATGTTAAACACCAGGAAAAATACTTTGCACACCTTTTTAACAGGATAGATGATGAACTCTGTGGCATCACGAAAGCGTTACAAATGCTTAATTGCAGTATTTTGTAATTTGGCATTGCAAGTTGATTGATGCCTGTGTGGAGTGTGGAGTGTGGAATTCAAGCAGGAACACAGCAAGATGTTTACCTGGTTATTTTTTACAGGCATTACAAGACCTTTACATGGCGAAGTATTAGCAGGTATTATGAGTTGTCATAAGGGGCTAGGCTCCAACACTGAATAGTCTTAAAAATAATAATAATATACTTTTATAAAGTCTAGTTAATTAAGATAAAAGTTGATAAATCTAGGGATAATATTATTGTAGTAATATAAAGATTAGTAAGGCAGATTGTGACTTACGGAAACTAGTGCCATGCTCTCTAATTTCATGCGCCCCTTGTTTGGTTTTATATTTATTTGTAATCATTTTAAATTCCACTTGTAAATAGACAACCGTATGAATTCCTGGATTCATTACATGCCCAAAAGAGTTACAAGTAATTTTTACATTCATGTACACATTGCACTTTCATGGTTCACTCCCAGCAAAGTTCCATTATTATTTATCATAAAGTATGACTTGGTAAACAGGAGTCTTATAGCCATACAAAGTGGCTGGTCACTGTACATCTGCATATATTTTGTATAAAAGTAGGATGCTTTATTATTATTATTATTATTTTTTATATTCCTGTCATTATTAGCTTGAGTGACTTGAGAGTTTACAGAGGATGAGGTTCTATTTCAACTGTCAGAAGTACAAATAAGTCGATGGGGCCTGATCGAATAAACCCAAAGGTATTAAACAAGCTTAGTGGTGTACTAGCAAAACCATTAATGGATTTATTTTACCAACTATTGTTAATGGGAGTAGTCCCAGAAGATTGGAAATTAGCGAATGTTGTGCCCATTACAAGAAAGATAGTAGGGAGGAGTCCGGCAACTATAGGCCAGTAAGCCTTACTTCAGTAGTGGGGAAAGTAATGGAAACCATGAAAAAGTTAGGATTGTTGAACATCTAAATCACTTGGATTTCAAGATCAGATAAAACATGGGTTTACTTCAGGGAGGTCATGCCAAACTAATATTATTGATTTTTTTGATTGGGTAACTAAAATAATAGATCAGGGTAGTGCAGTAGTCATTGCTTACCTAGATTTCATTAAGACTTTTAACACTGTTGCACATAGAAGGCTTATCAATAAACTGTAATCTTTAAATTTGGATTCCAATATTGTTGAATGGGTTAGGCAGTGGCTGAGTGACAGACAACAGAAGGTTGCAGTTAATGGAGTATATTTGAAGCATGGTCTTGTCACCAGTGGGGTACCTCAGGGATCTGTACTAGGGCCCATACTCTTTAATATTTTTATTAGTGATATTGCAGAAGTTCTTGATGGCAAGGTATGTCTTTTTGCTGATGATACAAAATATGTAACAGGGTTAATGTTCCGGGAGGGATAAGCCAAATGGCAAATGATTTAGTAATACTAGAAAAATGGTCAGAGTTGTGGCAGCTGACATTTAATGTGGATAAGTGCAAGATAATGCATCTTGGACGTAAAAACCCAAGGGCAAAGTATAGAATATTTGATACAGTCTTAACCTCAACATCTGAGGAAAGGGATTTATGGGTAATTATTTCATAAGACTTAAAGGTAGGCAGTCAATGTAATAGAGCAGCAGGGAATGCTAGCTGAATGCTTGGTTGTATAGGGAGAGGTATTAGCAGTAGAAAGAGGGAAGTGCTCATGCCATTGTACAGAACACTGGTAAGATTACACTTGGAGTATTGTACGCAGTACTGGAGACTATATCTCCTGAAAGATATTGATACTTTAGAGAGAGTTCAAAACTGGCTACTAAACTTGTTCTTGGATTACAGGATAAAACTTACAAGGAAAGGTTAAAGAATCTTAACATGTAGAGTTTGGAGGAAAGACGAGACAGGTGGGATATGAAGTATATAAAGTGAATCAACACAGTAAAAGAGGAAACTATTTTTAAAAAGAAAAACTACCCCAACAAGAGGACATAGTCTTAAATTAGAGGAAGTATTATCAGGAAGTATTAATTTACTGAGAGGGTAAGGGATGCATGTAATAGCCTTTCAGCTGAAGTGGTAGAGGTTAACACAGTTAAGGAGTTTAAACATGTGTGGGATAGGCATAAGGCTATCCTAACTATAAAATAAGGCCAGGGACTAAGGAGAGTAATTAGAAAACTGGGCAGACTAGAAGGGCCGAATGGTTCTTATCTGCCGTCACATTGTATGTTTCTATGTTTCTATGAAACAAATATGCAGCGATTTGTTTTCACTTGCACCATTGCCTGTAAATTATTTTATAACTGCAGAGCCAAATTAGGTCTTCCAGTATGATATTATAAATTTAGAAAACATGCTATTACAGCTCTACAACTCTAAGACATAACAGTGCTCATCACAAAAGAATGGTGTTAGGAGGAAATTAATATGTATTTAAGTAATTAAAATAATTAATGTTGGTAACTTCTGACTGTAAGGATAGCATCATATACAGTTAAAAAAATGTCTTCTAAGAAGTGGATACATTTTCACTTTGATGTACAGTTTGTGTTTCATTTACATGTAATAATATATTAGCAAGTACATTAGGCTAATCAGATTATTGTAACACTTGCATTTTCACTTACTGTCTCCTTGATTTTGAAACTAATTTAGTTTTACATTATGTTGTTAAATGCACCGTTGCACAAAACCTTCTTATTTGCATATTTGCTAATTGCTAAATAAGCCATGATTTTCAATGGAATGATGTCCTTTTACACTTTGCAGTGAAATTAGTGAATTTGGAAAATACTGTATAATAAAGATGTGTATATAATTGTTTAAAAAGTATCTATTTTACTAATTAACACAAGTTTGTATCTTAAATGTATTTTCTAGTTCTAGGAATTATTTCTGTAAATGTTTGCACATTTTGTCTTAAAAAATATAATGGAAGTAATAAACTGGCTATTTTATTTCACAAAAATATCATAATGTTTTTCTTGGTTTTCTCGGTGTGACTTTGGTACATATAATATGGCAGTTCACATTACTATATGAATACTTTATTGTCTTTTTTTTTTTTTAAATGTGGATCACTTTGGAAAATGTTAGACTCATGGGAGTTTTCAATTGATTGGGATTATAAAAATGGTCTCTAACCCTACCCCATATTTCAGCATAATTACCATTGAAGTGCTGCCCCTAAGGCCAAGTGTACACTGCAAAACTAGCACTAATTAGTGTAAACAAAGGAGTGGTAAGTTAAGACTTAGATTAACTATAGCAGGCACCATTCCTATAAACAGGGCTAGAGCTCAATTTGTGGAAGCGCCTTCTAGCATTTCTTACTATTCAAATGTAAATTAGCTCTTCTAATTTGTGAGTATGTAGGTCTGGTAACACTTCCTAAACAAATGTGAGGAATTTATGTAACAAAAAAAATGAATAATTGATGCTTATAGATGTCTCAGACAACAGATAGCATGGATATTTACTCTTAGGTGCTGACTGACTACGGCTGATTATCCACACTTGCCAATACGTCTTTAGCTAATGTAATATTGAAGTTTGCAAAAACCTCTGACATCTGTTATTTTTAATATTTGTAGAACTTAAGTTAGAATAAATATGCAATACAATATAGACAATGTCAATACATTTTTGGGTTGCAATGAAAAATCTTTTACAAAGTCTAGTCTAGGTACGGCCGACAAAAACGGTCCTTAAGAAGGTAAGTCCGCAGCAAATATATTACTTACCCGATCACCGCCGTTCCCCATATAATGTCATACTAACTATATTTTTATATTAATATATACATATATTAATATAAAAAGAAACTTATAAATAAATTACACATGTATATAATATAAATATTTCTATATATTATAAAATATAAAAATTAAGTAAATAAAAATAAATTGAAAACAATGTAAAAGTAATTTTAATTTGTTTTGAAAAAAAACATATGTATACGTAATTTTATTCTAACTGTATTTTAATATTAATATATATGTATATATATATTTATATCAAAATACAGTTAGAATGAAATTATATCTATCTATGTATATATAAATAAATCAAAATAATACTATATATATATATATCCATATACAAAATTACATAAACAATTTCATAAATATACATGTAGACTTCAAATATGTATAGGTATTTAAGTTCTGTTTTACTCAGGAGACTTTGCTGAAAACAAATATTAGTGTTTAAAACCTAGTAAAATGTATCACAGCAATGCTATTGTCAGTGAAAGTGAAGTTTTTTGCATTTTTCACACACAAATGGCACTTTCTCTGACAATAACATTGTTGTGATATGTTTTACTTTTTTGAAACACTAATATTTGTGTTCAGCGAAGTCTCCCGAGTATAACATTACCCCCATGCACAAGTTTAATAGTGTTTTTTGAAAGTTACACGGTCAAATATGAGGCTTGATTTTACATTTTTTCACATTGAAATTTGCCAGATTGGTTATGTTACCTTTGAGAGCGTATCGTAGCCCAGGAATGAGAATTACCACAATGATGGCATACCATTTGCAAAAGAAGAAAACCCAAGGTATTGCAAATGGGGTATATTCGGTCATTTTTAGTAGCCACTTGGTCACAAATACTGGCCAAATTTAGCATTCATAATTGTTTTTTGCATTTTTAACACACAAACAAATATCAATGCTAACTTTGGCCAGTGTTTGTGACTAAGTGGCTACTAAAAAAGTCTGGATATACCCCATATTGAACACCCTGAGTTGTTTACTTTAAAACAAATATGTACATGTGAGGTGTGATTCAGAGATTTATGACAGATAAGAGTGTTACAATGTCACTATTGATACATTTTAAAAATATATATTTTGAAACAGCAATGTCCTACTTGTACTTATAGCCCTATAACTTGCACACAAAAAAAGCTGAGAACATGTCAATATTGGGTATTTCTAAACTCGGGATAAAATTTAGAAACTATTTAGCATGGATGTTTTTTGGCGGTTGTAGATGTGTAACAGATTTTGGGTCAAAGTTAGAAAAAGTGTGTATTTTAAAAAAATTTCAACATATTTTAGAATTTTTTTTAGAGTAAATTATATGATATGATAAAAATAATGGTATCTTTAGATAGACCATTTACTGGTGAGAAAAACTGTATATAATATGTGTGGATATAGTAAATGAGTATGAGGAAAATTATAGCTAAACACAAACACCACAAAAATGTAAAAACAGCCCTGGTCCTTAACGGTAATAACATTGAAAAACAGACTGTTCACTATCTGGTCTGGGGTTATTATGCACATACTGTTTACTGTTTACAGATATGCACTCCCTCCAAGGGACTGAATGTCTTGTTACAAACATATTTTAAAAGACTAACAAAACACATTGACTCTCTTATACTTTCTTTTAACCTAGTCTAATAAAAAGAGTACTTTGTTGAATAAACTCAACAGACCTAATATTTTGGCAATAAACTGATCCAGGAATAATACATGTACATCTAAGAGACTGTTATTAATGTTTTAAAAGCAAATAATATTTTACAAGCTATTGATTTCAATTCACAGATTAGTGAAGCAATGTTTGCCTTCCCTACCTTTATTTAGAATTTCAATCATGCAAGAACTATAATGTTAACGACTACATTCCTTTGCTAGACAAACACAAAGTATGTAGTGCTGAAATACTTTTAAATGAGCTACTAAGCAATATGAACTTGTTCATAATACATCTCAGGTGTCGATTATTACTAATATCAATGTGTAAGTTGTTTATAAATTTTACATTTAGAAGAAAGATTGCATATTCTTTGTCTTGTACCTATAGACAATAAAGTGAAGAAATGTGACAAATTATGATATTTTGAACCTGCCAGTAACTAAGCACTCAACCCTAATCAAACATCCTTTATGTACCTATAATCTGAAGTTTGACTAAAAACTATACAGATATACATTTTTAGCTGAATTATCAACCCAATTGAAGAAATCTGATTTGCACTAAATTATTGCTGTTGCATAGCTTACATAAAAAAAATCTAAGTAGGAGCAATATAAAGGGATATGCTAAGTGCTACTAATACCAGGAGTTGCTTTTTTTTCTTGATTTGGAGATTTGTTTTGTTTAAAAAGGCAAATCTTCCAAATTCGGCCCGATCATGAAACAAACAACTCATGCTGTTTACGAATTGGTGAGTTCCATCCCTGGTGAGAGAAAAAAGGGGGACATACTGAAGAAGGATCTATTATTATGTTGGTTTTTTTTTGGGGGGGGGAGGGTTGCCAAACCATGTTGGTTGCATCACTTGTCCAATCAAAAGCTGTAAATAAAGATGAAATGATTAATTTTATTCTCAAATCAGTTGACAGTGACCAATAAGGGAGAAAAAACAACAAAACAATCAGGATTCTTCCAAACATTATGATTGCAGCTTTTGAGGGAAACAAACCATCACCATCTGTGATTGTGTGCTTTACAATTGATATGCCTGTGTGTTGGTGGGAGATTGCCTGGGTCATTGATCTTAGTTTAAGACTATGTTTAAGTAATTGCTGTATCTAACTAGCTAGATATACTTGGTCATCCATACTAATATGCGGTTGGTGGTTACGGTTTGTACTGTGTCAACTGTTTTACTGCCATACAACACCAACTTGAAATCTTTAAATGTTTGTAGAAAGAAAATTCCTTTTATGGAGAGTGTGTTGTTCAGTAAAAAGTTTTTTTTTTTTTTTTTTAAATTGTTCTTGCCTATCTTCTTCTGCAGCTGCACTTAAGTAACTCTGAGTGAGTAATAGCCTAGCTTGTTTAATTTATCCTAGTGTGAGACTGGTAATTGGGGTTAGTGTTGTGACTACTGCAAGCCACTGCCACTTAACACCAAATTGAAATCATCAATTTACAGTTTGACTGGACTTTTTTGTTATGTTTGTAGCAAGAAAATTAATTATGTCTGTGAGCACTGTACAGCACACTGTGTGCAGTGTAGTGTTATTTAAAGTCAAACACAACAACATTACAGTAGTAAATCCCCAAGTAGCAATTCATTTTTACACACAAACATCTATTTTTTGCTCAATAAAGTACCGTTAGTTTACACAATTATTCATATCCCAAATATATTTTTACAATATGTAACAAAACCACCATCATCGATATTGCATCCTTATCCCAAAGAGCAATTAAGGAAGAGTAGGGGAAGGCGTTGTATTCCCTAGATCCCCATCAGATGTAATGACCTCTTCAAGTCTGAACACCCCTTCCTTATGCATGAGTACTGCTGACATCTCCTTCACCACTGCTGCCATCACCACTATGAGTAGTATTCAGCCTAAAAAGTATTTGATTAGCAACATTGATTCATCCGATTCAGCACTCAGGAGTGAATGGTTTTATCTCAATCTTTTTATGCTGCAATTGGTGACTCAACGTCTAAAGTAGAAGAAGAATCTATAGTTTCAGCAGCAGGGTCAGCTAGGCTCAATAATTTGACTACCAGATCCAGAATAATTTCTGCTGCCACTTCCAAAATTACTGCAGCAGTTCCTTCTATCACAGCTAGTTCAAGCATCAAATTTTTTGTGTTTTATGGCGGTCAAAGAAAGGGGTTGGTGAAACCACTGGATGTGCTACCATTGCCCATGTTACCTCCCCAGAAAGCAGCTACAGGAGAGTTCAGAAGAGACTTTCCTGTGTCATCAGAGTCAACCTTTAATAAAGAAGCAGAGCACGGTACCCAAGTCGTATCCACAATGTCTGATCTTGATAGTGATGATATAATTATTTAACCTATGACTACAGATATTTAAGTCTGTCCCAGGAGGAACTTGACTTTGAGACACAGGTGACCACCCCGATACTAACCTTAAAACCGATAGCTTTGCATGCTACTTTACTGACAAGATTGAACAGTTAAGGAAATAATTTTCTTCCCTTTGCTCCTCTCTCTC